TTCCATCGAGCCTCCACCATTTTATCTTTGGCTCCCCTTGTACTTTAACTATCCTATGTTGAGTGACATTACTTTCACCTAGGATAACTTTACAATCAGTGTATCTAGTTCTCCAAGTCGTTTGTACTAAAAAGTAGTCAATTTGGGTACTTTTAGCTCCACTTCTATAGGTGACAAGGTGAGAGACTCATTTCTTGAACCAAGTATTCATCACAGCCAACTCATATGTCAATGCAAAATCCAGAATGTTCTTCCTTGCTTCATTTCTAGTGCCAAAACCATGCCTGTCATGGATACTCTCAAAACCCTCATGACTTGGGCCCACATGCCTGTTGAGGTTGCCTCTTATGACCAACTTCTCTTCCCTTGGCACTCGTCGCACCACTTCCTCAAGATCCTCCCAAAATTGTTGAGTGATTGTTTGTCCCTGTTTTGTAGATTACAGCAATATATATCGATATAACAAAGATCAGAGTAACAGAAAGATGAATACAGTGAAGATCCTTTAAACTCCTCTTTGATATACCGTGAACTTTACAACACAAGGATGAGCGCTAAGGCTAAAATATCGAATGCAAAGTTAACACAAACCTAAGCCTTACGCGTATATTTATAGGCGAAGGCAGGTTTGCGTAAAGGCTTTTAGTCAGGTATATGGGCCTGACACTTTGGCCTCATATCCTTTATACCCTAAAAAATACAAACATTAATTACACAAGGTATAATAAAGGCTAAGCTATTACAATATATATCTGACAAACTTGATTCACAACAGAATAATCTTCAAAAGTGATAGATGCACCCAATCCCAATTGTGGTGCATAGGCACTTACCATTGACACGATCTCATCTCCTATTATCAACTTAATGCTCATGATGTGATCGTTCTTCCTAAAGACTTCAACCACACCCGTGACATAATCATGTGCCACCATAATGCCTACTCCATTTCTGTACCTCTTTCTCCCCGAATACCACAACTTAAAACCTCCGGGATTAATCTCACGTGCCTTTTCTCCAACCCACTTAGTTTTTTGCGTGCACATTATGTTGATATTCCTCCTCTTCATAACCTAGGCTATCTCAGATGATCTTCCTGTAAGAGAGCCAACATTCCATGTCCCAAAACGCAATTTAGCACCCTGCCTTCTCTTCTTCACACCAAAACGACTCCCACCAAGCCCTTGCATATTTGACACCATCCCCGAGCATTGGAGTGGCGCGTCGCTTCCGGGCGACGACCTAGCAACCTTAGCATTCTTATCACACACCAGGCCTATGAAGTGTAGTGCGCCCTTGCTCATTTGACACCACCCCTAGGCGGAGGGATGATGCGTCGCTTACGGGCGACGACCTAGCTGTAACGATATTCATATTTCGATTTATGTCATGTGATTTAACTAAGTGATACTGTTGGCCGTCACACGCCTATCACAACACCCCTCCTCCTTTATCCTGGCTTGGGATAGACATGATACCAAAAAATGATCTCATGGCAGAGTTCGGTATATATGACATATTATTAAAAAAAGTATTGATTTATTTTTAAAAATTGAACTATAAATGAAAAAATTATAAAAATTTTAAAACTAAAAATCATTACCATATTACTCTGTATATGGAAACACAACGGGGGGGACATCAACATCATTATTCAGCAAATTATAACGTACACTCGACTGTATCGTGTGCTCGATACAACCGGACTTTTTGTTCTGTTGCGCACCATACACCGCGTTGCTCCTATTACTAACCCTCTGCCTCAAGTACTCTGCTCCACATCCAAATCCCCGTCCAGGCTTAGTGACCAGAAACGAAACGAAAAACGTCGAGCTCACAGCAACCGCGACTTATAGCGACTACAGATGACCTCCAGCCACGAGTGGCCGCCAGCAACCTCTGGTGGCGGGTGTAGATCCAGGCACGAGTAAGCGACTGACCTCCAGTATCGGTGAGTTTTGCTAGGACGAGTCACGAGCAGCCTCCAACGACAATCGACGAGCGACAGACCAATGAGTTCCTGCAATTGGCGAGCGATTCCAGTCATAGGCGATGAGCAACAACCACAACTTCAGAGATGGCGATTTCTTGCGAGTGTTTGGCGGCAGGGATGGATTTAAGGGGGGGCGCGGGGGTGCGACCGCCCCCCTTGGACTTTCAAAATTTTCTACTATATATGTAATGTTTTTGTAAAATTTTGATACTTTAATTAGATTCGCCCCCCTTAATTTTTTTGTTGAACACTGCCCCCCTTAACTTTTAGTTTTTTAAATTGATATATAGTCTTACATAATGTAATACTTAATCGGAGATTTAAAAAAGGAACATCTAAAATAATTTACATAACTTAAATAAACAATAGAAGAACTCATTATTTGAGATTTAGGATACTTATTATATAAAAATTCTTAGTTTTGTAATGTTTAATTATCTTTATTCGATAACTAGTAAACAAATTTGAAAAATATATATCAAACGATATTAAATACCAGACACTCTAGCTACAAAGTTTTTAGATCATGTGAAGTAATCCAAATTATAAATGTTTATTGACATTGAATTACACTATTCATTTACTTCTTACATTCTAAAAAGACTTTATTGCATAGATAATAAACTTTAATTATTTTAGCATTAATACAAATATAATATGCACTATATATATGAATTATCAATATAATATTATTCTAAAAATAATAATATCATACATACTATTGTAATATTAAAAGAACTGCTTGTGACTTATGAACACCCTCAATGATAGACAAAAATTGTAATTCAAAAATCAATTCTTTATTTCTATAAGACTCATGTAGTTAAACAATGTTGAAATTATTTTAAAAGTACTCGTGAATGTGAACCTTATAAACTCTTTATATTTAAATAAAATGTTATATATCCTTTTTTATTTTTGTATTATTTTCCATTGATTTGTCATTTCTTATGTTTTAATGTATCAATACTTTTTTCTAGAGCACTCCAATTATAAAATTAAAGTTATTTTGTCATTATCTAAAGGGAAAAGGGTCAAATAGGCCCCCGAACTTACATAAAAAGGTCAAATAAGCTCTTATATAGGAGGCTGTGTCTGGCCATCGCCATTTGGGGCGGTTCCCGGTGGAATTTTTTGATGAAAGTTTTTGAGCATCTTATTCATTAAGTCTAGTTTAATCATACCAAATTTCAGCTAAAACCTCAACCAGGAAGGCATTCAAATGAATTCTTGAAGATAACTGCGCACTTAAAAGCGCAGTTATCTTCCAGAATTCATTTAAATGCCTTTCCGATTGAATTGTTAGCTGAAATTTGGTATGAGTAAACTAGACTTAATGATTAAGATGCTCAAAAAAATTCATCAAAACATCCACCGGGAACTGCCCCAAATGGCGACGACCGGACAGAGCCTCCTATATAAGGGCTTATTTGACCTTTTTATGTAAGTTCGAGGGCTTATTTGACACTTTTCCCTTGTCTAAACTTAGAATGTAATATATAGATTTAAATGTCGTCACGTATGTATGAATGAATTTTTTTTGAATAAAAATAGCCACAGAGCCTTACACTAATGAAAAAATTTGCCCCGCTACACTAGAAAAAAAATTCACCCCGCTACACTAATGAATTTTTTATGTCCTACACTAACGAAAATTTTCGCCCCCCTTAACTCGAAATCCTGGATCCGTCCCTGTTTGGCGGCGCACAACAATTTCATTGTCGATACATACGTAGTTTTACTGATATGAGCATACACAAATGAAAAGTTGAGCATAGTAGAGATTTTAAATAAGCTTTTTGAAATTTTGATGTTCATTTCGTAATTTATGTATGTTCATTTGATATTGGTGTAATACTCATTTAAAATGTCATATTCATGCATATTTCAAAAGTATAATACGTCGTATTAGATATTATAAAAAATAATGAAAACAAAGTGAATTACTCGCTCCGTCCCATTCAAAGTTTCTCACTTTCTTTTTTGGGACATCCCATTTAAAGATTTAAAGGTTCTGAATTCTATTTTAGGAAATAAATAATATTCTTGAAAGGAAATTTAATTATCAAGTATTAAAAGTAATATATCTATACATATATATATTTTTGAACCCGGAAGGTAAATCACCAAAATCAGTGGGGCAAATATCGGGAAACACTTGCCAGGTTTTATTGAAAACAGAGCAAAAAAACAACACAAAGAGGATGACTAGACCAAAATCTCTTCAGAGAAGGCATACCTTCTTAAAGTAATATATCTATAATATGACCGTTATCATCGATGACCTTGTTATATAATATTTTGAGTACATTTCTCACAATGTATTCAAATTGCTATATTTAATTATTGTCTAAATCTAAATCATGATACAATAAAGAGACATTAAACGGGACAGGAAAAAAAAGTCAATATCATGATACTCATTATTACACTCTCAATGCTCATTATTAAACTCTCTATATTACTTTGCTTACGTTAATCATCGTCTATTCTCTAGGAGTCTAGACTCTAGGGTCATAAATTAAAAAAAACGAAGCACTACTGGCTTGCAGCAGTAAATTAGAGTAAAATATCGTACATCCGGCCTTTTAGTTCGCAGATCAATCGCTAGCTTCCTTCGCAGATCGTTGTTCGCATAATGATCGTTCACACTTCACTATTCGTTGGATGCTCTTTCTTCATCGTCGTTCACAGATGACTCGCCAGACTCCCGACTGAACGCAGCACCTCAGACTCTAGACCCCCTCTTGTGAAGACGGCGGCTCTGGCAGATGTATAGGGCTAGTTAGACTCTTTTTTTTTTGCACCATTTTCTTTTTTTCTCTTTTTCTTATATAGGTTTGGTGAGTTTGGTCACTTGTTGGTTGTAGGTTAGTGTTAGACACGTATTAGACATGTTTGGGCTTAGCTATACTCGTAATTAGCTTTACATAATTGGTGGGCCAAGGGCTTTGTATATAGCGTGTAGCTTTCATGAATATATACGACATGTAATCACAAGACTAAGCAAGGGAAAATATTCCATTAATTTATTGCCTAAATTTGTCATGGTATCAGAGCCTCACTAAACCTACGCATCTTCTACTTTTTCGTTCAACGGTGATACAGGCGGCACCAGCGTGCGCAGCTTGACAGCCATGGGCGATGAAGCAGCTCCGAAGCTTGACCCTTCTCCGTTTTACCTAGGTTCAGGTGATCAGCCAGGCAATTTAATCACTCATGTGATACTCAAAAGCGACAACTACGTAGCCTGGTCGAGAGCCATGACTCTCTCCTTGAAAGCTCGCTGGAAATTTGTTTTCGTCGACAGCACTATAAGGAAACCAACAGTTGCGGCCAAGCTTCTCGACTGGGATACAGTTAATTCAATGACCGTCTCTTGGATTCTGTGTAGCATGGATCTGATGGTAGCCATGTCCATACCCTTCCACGATGAAGCCCGGACAATGTGGGTTTACTTGGAGAATCGATTTAGTGTAGCCAATGGGCCACATTTACAGAGGCTGCGTACATCAATTACTGAATGTAAACAGAGCAAATCAATGATGGTTTATGAGTATTACACAATGCTCATGAGTCTATATGATGAATTGAATCGTTTGAAACCACTTCATGCTTGCACGTGTGGATTATGCACGTGTGACGTTGCTGGGAAGTTTGCGGCAGATCGTGAAGAAGAAAAACTCCACCAATTTATGATCGGGATTGATGATGACGTCTATGTAATGGTGAGGTCCAACCTTGTGTCCCACACGCCACTGCCGGATCTCAATCGTGCGCACCAGGCTTTCCTTCAAGAGGAAAACTCACCCTCCAGGCTGACCGAACCAAGGGACGTTCTGAACGGACAGATCGTATGAAGTTGTTGTTCTCCCATTGAAAACAAAAGGGCCACGAGGTTGATAAGTGTTTCAAGTTGCACAGGTATCCTGACTGTTGGGAAGATCGCAACCGTACCAAAGGAACTAACACTGGCCGTGGAGAGGGGGTACGTACCCATGCTGTTGCTCCCTCTTTGACTGCGCAGGATGCAGGCTCTTCTTCTGCCAGTGAAGTAACTAGATTAAATGACTTGAGTAAGGAGTGATGGTCCCTGTTTATACTAATCTAACACCAATATGAATATATCAAAGATGAGGTTAACAGAATGATAAACAAGATGAAGATCGTTTAAACCCTTCTTCGATATACCGTGAACCTTTTACAGCAGAATGATGAGCGCTAAGGCTAAAAGATCGAATGCAAAAGTTAACGCAAACCTAAGCCTTATGCGCCTTTTTATATGCGCAGGCAAGCTTTGCGTAAACGCTTTACGCCAGATATGAGCCTGACACTTTGGCCCCATATCATTTACTATGCTAATAAATACATAGTATAAATACATTACAGGCATAGTAAAGACTAGACTATTACAAGACATCTTAGAAACTTGATACACAATAAAATAGTCTTCAACAATCTCCCCTTTTGTGATCAAGTGTCATCTTGCTTTTCCTTCTGAGCTCTAAAGTAGTTTTTCCTTATGTTTAGTGCATGCTCATATTGCCTGAGGATATTTCTCTTTTCGAGGCATTCTGCAATTGCTTTCAGAAATAATATCAGCACGTCATGCTCCTTTAGAGTATCTGTAGATGCATCCACAAGTCTTTTGTCAAGCTCTTCCTTTGTTTTCCGCAGCTTTTCTTTAATAATTTTCAAAGTTCCATCACAGTATTTGTGGATCTCTTCAATCACCATGTAACACCCCCAAATTTCCCACCCAAAAACACTTTGAAATAATACTTTATTATTAATTTTATTTGAAAACATCATAGTTGTGCAGCGTAAAAATTCTAAGGGAAATAGGGGCGTTACCGCCACACTCGGTTCTAACCTAACCGAGTTCACACGCTAATCATCTCCAAAACAATTTAAGCTCCAAAACAATTATTCACTAAAGATCTTGAAAGTATAAGTTACAATGATTTACTAATTAGGTGTTCTAGCGGAATCTCTCTTGAATCAACATCATCATCAAATATATACTCAGGTCTTATCTCCTGCACAAATAAAGTACAGAAAGAAAAGAAAAGCAAAGAGACAAAAATTAGCCGGAAATGCTAAGTAAGTCCCACCCAACCCCGTAAAATAATCAGGTTTAGTACATATATACGTTTTTGTAAAACCATTCGGAGGAAAAATCTTTTCAAAACATTCATATCAATCATAAGTAAAACAATATTTATAATAAATTCTCATAACTTAATTCATATGTAAAATAATAATATTCCAAATCATAATAATTCCAATCATTAGAAAATGTAATAAAAATTCTCATAAATATTCCAAAGCATATATCATATACACAACTCCAAATATCCATCTCAAAACTAACTTAAGCACTTCATCACAATCCTTAAAAACACATAATCAATGTCCACAAATATGTTTTTCCAAACCAATAACACAAGTATTTGTACTTTAGAAATTCACAATTAATAAAATAATTAAGTATTTAGTCAACTCTTTAACCCAACTCTTTAAGAGTAAAATACCAAAACATTTGATTTACCTCAAAATAGCTTTATAGCTAATTCTCCTAGTTCATTTAGAAGGGCGGTGCTCAAGCGTTATCTCGATTCTTGAGCCCAGTGATCCGTTGTTTTGTACGGTCACTCCGATCTGCTCTCGGTACCACATCTCCTCTATTAGAATCTAGACTTCTACCTTAAGTGTGCACACGCCCTAAAGGGATTCCAAGCCCTCCGAGTAGTATGAAGTCTAAGTAGTTATGACGTCAACGTCTCCCTACTCCAAATGGGATATACTCCCTAAGTTCTGGGTTCAAAGACCCTTAAGAGAATAGGTACTTGACGTGCACTCGTCGTTAGGTGCACTCAAAATAAATAATCAATACAACACTAATACGTAGTATAGTGTAGTAAGGTTCGTATCCACAGGGAAAGGAATACTTTTCTTTTATATGAATAATAACAAGGGGGGTTTAGATTTGTTTGGTTTAATAACACTAAGATAAACGACCTATATGAGTTTAATTCAATGAGATGGAGACTTGGTTTTGCTTTTATCCACTTAATGAAATGTTCGTCGATCCCGGTTATATCTTTAACTATCTTCCTCTCGAATACTCAATCGAGGAGTATATCCAGTTCATCGAGGGTAGTTATTAATAACGAGATGCGTTCATTAATAAAACTTACTATCGAGTCAATATAGAACAAGCGCCGTATATTAACTTGATAGTAGCAATAAACTTAAGATGAAAACGATTGAGATTGATAACCTCAACACAAGCGGTTTATTGGTTTAATCAATATAATTAATTCCCTTTGGCATATTAACCATGAGATGCATGCATTAATATTCCAAGTTTACTACCGTTGAAAGAACCGGATTAATAACAAGCGTATTAACCGATTGATTCTAGTAATAATTAATATGAGAAACAATACTAGTTGATACTTTAAGTAATGTTTAAGATATTAACATGAAATATGAATAGGAATTAATTAATACTTAAGGAAGAATATTAAAATATATGAATCCTACTATGATTAATATCAAGATGTTAACTAATTGTCATCTTAGTAACACTCCCCAATATTATCATAGAGGAAGAAATAGCTATTACTATAACAAATGTCAAGATGTTAACTAATTGTCATCTTAGTAACACTCCCCGACTTTGATATAGAGATAGTATTTTGAAAGAAAGAATTAATATTCAAGGAAGAAGATTAAAGAAAATAACTCACAACTTACAAATTCATTAAGCTTCAAAGTAGCAAAACCAAGATGGAAGAGTTTAGCTCCTCATTTGGAGGCTAAACATGATGAAAAATATAAAGAAAGAACTATTCTATACTGAGCTTAGATGTACAAAGGGATTGGATCTCTTTTTGTGAAGGAAAGGAGGTGTATTTATAGGTTTTTGGGATGGGATTTGGGTACTCGATCGGGTATATACATGGTACCCGATCGAGTATGTGTGTAACACCCGATCCGAGGTATACTCGACCGGTTTCAGGCTATTTTCTAAGTGTATACCCGATCGAGTATATATGAATACCCGGTCGAGTATGCTTAGAAAGTGATATTCGGGCTATACTCGACCGATCTTCGTTTGCAATTTAAAGGCATACCCGATCGGGTATGTCGGTCTACCCGATCGGGTATAGACATAGAATCGTGGCCAAAATCTTCCCTGCATGTTCCTTTGTCTTCGGATCTGATCCGATTTGAAGTTCCAACCTAATACCCGATCGAGTATAGCTAATACTCGACCGAGTATAGACCAAAATTCAGGATCTTCTTTTGTCTTTGAACTTTTGCACCTTCTCTTCACTTTTTGGGTTCACCAACTGTACTTTGGGTGACCAAAACCTGCTTTAAGCTCAGAATATGTCTAATCTAACCTATTTACAAGAATTTAACAATCTAACCTATTACACCAAAAGTGTGTAATTTCCACAGTAAAAGTCAAGCAAAACTAATTAAAAACATAAACATAGAAATGGAAATTACGAACGTATCAACTCCCCCACACTTAAACCTTTACTCGTCTCGAGTAAGATCAAATGTTTACAAGTGTCAATGTTTGTCCAAAAGTTCCACAGTTCAACAAAAATATAATACAAACACAAAGACCACCAAGGATTACAAAGAAAAATGAGTTTTAAACTCAAATCACAAAAGAGCATCTTGGGTTTAATGGCCTCCTAGTGTTGTCTTCTTTTCTCCTCCTCTCTTCTTCTTTATCTTGAATCTTCATATTCTTCATAAGGATACAATGAGTGCCTGCAAGAACAAACATTTCTCTCATATCTCTCATTTTGCCTAGGAGCCTTTTCAGGTTTTCATCCTAGCACCTCTTTTCATTTTCCATTCTCTCCAACTCACTCATTTTTTTTTATATAAGCCTTTTTTTGCTTAGATTGCCCATTTTGTTGGGTTTTCAACCTAACTAGCATTTATTTTCTTTTGTTTTATTTTTTTTCTTTAATAATTTTTTTTTTTTGAGTGTAAAAGTTCAAAAGAATTACATGCATAGTGCTAGGTACAAATGAGAATTACATACCATCGTGAGTGTCTCCCCCGCACTTGAATCACGCACTGTCCCTAGTGCCCGCCTTCTCCTCCGTAGTAGCTCCCTCCAAAACCGCTCCCTTGGCCACCATCTCCCATGTAAGTGTCCCCGCCATCTCCGCCGTCGTACCCTCCACCACCGGAGCCAGATCCTCCAAAGTTACCCCAATGAGTGGGGTCATACCATGAGGGTGGTGGAGGAGGGTTCGCCATGGTATGGAAGGATCCCTGCTGTGCCATAAACGAGTACATAGGCCCGTAGAACCTATGTTGGTCTTCCTCATACCGGTGTCTATCGGCCTCCCGGAGCTCCTCCAAACGTTGAAAGCCGGCCCTTTGCTCATCCTCCAATCTTTGAAAACCGGCTCTTTGCTCTTCCTCTAATCGGTTGAGCCGGTTGTCCATTTGAGCTATTCCCGTTAGAAGTTGTTGTTGACCCTCCAGAAGTTGTTGAAAGAAGTCGGGTGGTGGAGGGTTTTGGCTTTGTTCTGGGAATTCATGGCTCATGGTTGGATGGCTATGGAGTTGCTCGTAGGGCTCGTCATCGGGTTGGTTTTGGGGGGGTTCCTGTTCCGGTTCTTGAAAATGTGGTGGGAGGGCGTTTGGGAAGAGGTAATGTTGATCCGGCCTGCCTGTTTTGAAGTGGAGTTGGGGGAGTTCTGGGTTGGGCAAGAGGAAGTATTTGAGGGGTTTGGGGTGGATGTGCCAGTTGTACATATTTTTGGGCCTTTCTTCACCATAAACGGTGTGTGAAAAAGAAGTACAACCCGAGTGGCCTAGCCAAGATATGTTCATTAAACAGTAGTCGGGTATAGGAGAGTCATCCGTATACCCGAACTTTGTGGCCAAGTGCATAATCACCCCGCCCACTACGATAGCACCCTTTGCCACACTTTCCTTCTTTAGATGAGCCCACATGAGATTACAGAGGTTGAAATCCACGTGGGTACGGAATAAGGCAACCGAGATGAGGCATACATCCCCCATCCTTGTATGATGGTTGTTGGGACGTCCAAGCAAGGAGTTGGCAAGGAATTTCAAAAAGAGGCGTAGGACTGGATGTTGGACATGACTAATGTATAGTTGGGAGGAGCTAAATTTGGTCTCCCCGGTCATCTTGGTCCATAGGGTGTGGCCGAAGGCGGTATTGTCGGATATAGACTTTTGGTACGGGACCGGAATACCAAAGTGTTCGGCAAACTCAAGTTTCGTGATGGTGTGATTGTGATTAAACAAACGAAACCTGAGTTTATCATCCCTAAAGTCCTCCTCATTGTTCTCAAAGTGCACCGAACTTAGGAATTCATAGATAATTTTTTCATTTGAGTTGTATTGCATTTTGAAAATTTTATCCATATGCAACTCATGAAAAAATTTCTTCATTATTGTGTATACTCCTAATTCCTTTAGAGCATCAAGGCATAAAAAGCGGGAAGGTTTGACTTGCCTTTCAATTGTGGACAAGAAGCGTGTGCGTTGTTCGTTGTCCACGAAAAGGATGTCCTCGTAGCCCGGGATGATTGTCCTAGT